AGCCGGAGACCCTGACAGCCGAGCCATGCCATGCCATGCCATGCCATGCCATGCCATGCCAGCTCCAGTGCTCGACCAAGGCTGTTGACCTTGGCGTTGACCAAGGCTCCACCAGGGTTGGGGTGGCAATAGGGTCACGGGGGTGTCCCTGGGCAGGGGTGGGGGTGCCTGGCGTGGAGGGGAGGGTGCTGAGCACTGTCATGTCCCAGCCCAAGCCCACCAAGGGCCGAATGCGGATCCACTGCCTGGAGAACGTGGACAAGGCGCTGCAGTTCCTGAAGGAGCAGCGGGTGCACCTGGAGAACATGGGTTCCCATGACATTGTGGACGGCAACCACCGCCTCGTCCTCGGCCTCATCTGGACCATCATCCTCCGCTTCCAGGTGGGACTGGGTGGATGGGGCGCACCCCTCAGCTCGACACCGAATGGCTTGTTCCCGAGCAGGAGCCCTCCTCTGTGGATGTCTTCCCTCAACCCCGGGATGTTCTTCTGTCCCCCAGATCCAGGACATCATCGTGCAGACGCAGGAGGGCCGGGAGACGCGCTCAGCCAGGGATGCACTGCTGCTCTGGTGCCAGATGAAGACGGCGGGGTAGGTTGTGGGTCCCGCACCCCACTGCGCCGGGGCCTGGGGATGCCCGGAGAGTGATGGTGATGCCCTGTCCCCATCCAGGTACCCCCATGTGAATGTCACCAACTTCACCTCGAGCTGGAAGGACGGGCTGGCTTTCAACGCCCTCATCCACAAGCACAGGTAGGCGGCATGGCGGTGGGCACTGGGAGATGTTGGGGTGGCAGTGGCGCTAGGGGATGTCCCACGGTTGTGTCACCACCATCCTATGCCGTCTGTCCCCAGGCCTGAGCTGGTTGACTTCCAAAACCTGACCAAATCCAACGCCCGGCACAACCTGGAGCACGCGTTCAGCGTGGCGGAGCGGCACCTGGGCATCACCCCGCTCCTCGACCCTGAAGGTGAGGCTGCCGCTGCTGACCCTCCTGCCTCAGTTTCCCCATTACACCCTGGGATGTGCCCAGGCCCCACAGAGGGACGGAGAAGTTTCCACCTTGTGGAATGGGGGTCTGGATGGGAGCAAGGGGGGACCTCGTGAGGCCGTGGTGGCCCATTGCCACTGGGGTGATAGTCAGGACTGACGCCTTTCGCTTACACCGGGCAGATGTGTTCACGGAGAACCCTGATGAGAAGTCCATCATCACCTATGTGGTGGCCTTCTACCACTACTTCTCCAAGATGAAGGTGCTGGAGGTGGAGGGCAGGCGTCTGGGCAAGGTAGGGGACGGTGTTGGGATGGGGAGTTGGTTCTACCAGGGTGCCGGACCCCCGTGCTCACCACCAGCCCCACCACAGGTCATCGAGCACGCCAAGGAGACGGAGCGGATGATCGAGGGCTATGGGGGGCTGGCCTCCGACCTGCTCACCTGGATCGAGCAGACCATCACCTTCCTCAACAGCCGCAGCTTCGCCAACTCGCTGGCCGGGGTGCAGCACCAGCTGCAAGCCTTCAGCACCTACCGTACCGTGGAGAAGCCCCCCAAGTAAGCGTCCCTGAGCCCCTGGTGCCCGTGCAGTGATGGTGAGCACCCATGGGTGCCCCGGGCTGAGCTCTCTCTGGGGCAGGTTTCAGGAGAAGGGCAACCTGGAGGTGCTGCTCTTCACCATCCAGTCGCGGATGCGAGCCAACAACCAGCGCGTCTACACCCCGCACGAGGGGCGCCTGGTCTCCGACATCAACCGGGTACGGAGCCCGTCCTGGCAGCCTGGCTGTGTGCCGTGCCGTGGGCAGCTCTTCCTCCCGTACCCCTGGGACTTTCCTCCCCAGGCTGTCCCAGGGCAGGTCAGGGATGTCCTGGGGCAGCTCAGGTCCATCTCAGGGCAAGTCAGGTCCATTTCTTGGGGCAGTTTGGGTGCATCCCAGGGCAGTTCAGGTCCATCTCAAGGCAGATTGGGTCTGTTCTAGAGCAAGTTGGGTCCATCTCCTGGGGTAAGTTGGATTGACTTCCTGGGGGCAGGTGGGGTCCATCCCAGAGCGGTTTGGGTCAATACTGGGATGGGTCCTAGGACAGGTTGGGTCCATGTCTGAAGGCAATTCAAATCCATCCTGGGACACGTCGAGCCCATCCTGGGGCAGGTCAAGTCCATCCCAGGGCAGGCTGGGTTCCTCCAGCCACCCTCCCCTACCCATGAGGCACATTGGGGTTCACCAGCAGAACAAGACACAGAGGGGGGTGGACGTGGGTGCCACCCCTGTCCAGCACCGCCTTCCCGCAGGCCTGGGAGCAGCTGGAGAAAGCGGAACACGAGCGGGAGCTGGCGCTGCGCACCGAACTCATCCGGCAGGAGAAGCTGGAGCAGCTGGCACGGCGCTTCGACCGCAAAGCGGCCATGCGGGAGGCCTGGCTGAGCGAGAACCAGCGCCTGGTAGCTCAGGTGAGGTCGGGGACACCCACTCCAGGGACCAGGGCACCTTGCCGAAACCTCACCGTGGGCTTTGTGCTGGGGCAGGACAACTTTGGCCACGACCTGCCAGCAGTGGAGGCGGCCAAGAAGAAGCATGAGGCCATTGAGACGGACACGGCCGCCTACAAAGAGCGGGTGCAGGCCATCGAGGCGGTGGCAAAGGAGCTGGAGGTGGAGGGCTACCACGACATCCAGCGCATCAATGGGCGCAAGGACAACATCCTGCGGCTCTGGGAACAGCTCCTGGAGCTGCTGGCTGCCCGACGCCAGCGCCTGGAGATGAACCTTGTCCTGCAGCACCTCTTCCAAGAGATGCTCCACAGCATTGACTGGATGGACGAGGTCAAGGTGAGCCGTGGGTGTTGGGTGCCACCATGACTTGGGTGCTTTGGTCCCACCGAGAAGAGCGTTAGTGGGACCCCCTTGGAGAGGCAGATGAGATGCTGGGGTGCTGGAGGCAGCTTTTGGGTGGTGGTGGGTGCCATCTGCCAGAACCAGTGGTGGGTGACGGCCGGGGCTCTCCTTCAGGTGCAGCTGGCATCACCCGAATCTGGGAAGCACCTTCTGGAGGCAGAGGAGCTGCTGCAGACCCACCGGATGCTGGAGGCTGACATGGCCCTGCAGGCGGAGAAGACACGGGCCGTCAGCGCCGCCGCCCTCTGTTTTGCTGACGCTGAGGGTAGGTGTGCCGGGATGCCTCGGGACCGTGGCACGGCCGGGGGGAAGCTGGGATGCCTCGCTGATGGGTACTCGTGCTGCTCCCTGGCCAGGCTACCGTCCCTGCGACCCCAAAGTCATCCGGGACCGTGTGAGCCACCTGGAGCTGTGCCG